AAAAAAAAAAAAAAAAAGAAACTCTGCCAACACTTGAAACTTACTCCCCAGTTATCCTTTTGATTCAAAATCATGAACATCTTTGACTTTAAAAAGTAACTTTAGCTTGAGGTGAAGATACTATTGTTAACTTCATTTTTTATATCATTTTCCTCTTTTTAGGCCTTTCCATGCACACTTTTCATGGTAACTTCTTTGTCCGTTCTACTGATTTGTTATCCCTTGCCAACATCAATCCTGATGCTGGATTTGCGGTGCAGTTGTCAATTGAAGAAAGTTTAACAGATACTTCCTTAGTGTGTTTTCAAACAGCCCTGTTATATACATCAAGCAAAGGTAATGTTAACAGAAATGAAATAAAGCATGCAGCAGTAATTCTCCCCTCCTTTCACATGGCCTTTAATGGAGTGGGGAAAAAGAATGAATACACAGTGGGAAGTAATGGAATTTGCATTAGTTAATCAAATATGTGTTGTTATTTTCTTTTTTTAACTCCTATTTTGAATCTGTAATATACTGTTTTTAATTTACGGAAGACTTATATTCATAGAATCTTGTTTCAAAACAATTAATGCCAAATCCTGCTGTGCCATTCTTTGTAATATTTCTTGCCCCATAAAGTAAAAAACTGCTTAGCAATTAAGGCCTTCATTTGTTATTTGACAATCTAAGTTTTCTGATATTTTACCCTTTGGGATATTATTTAGAATGAGTGATGTTAAAGTAAAAACTAGAACCTAATATTCATCTGTATACAAAGTATAGCATATGTTCATACTCTGCAGATTTAGAGAGTGTTCAATTTTCTTTAAAAAATGTTAATTGTAAAACTTTGTTTTTACATTGCAAAATCCTGTTGGTGATATAATCTACCCAAAACAATAACTTGAATAAAAATTTGACTTGTAGCCAGGTGCAGTGGCTCACGCCTGTAATTCCAGCACTTTAAGAGGCCGAGGAAGGTGGATTTCCTGAGGTCAGGAGCTTGAGACCAGCCTGGCCAACATAGTGAAACCCTATCTCTACTAAAAATACAAAGATTAGCTGGGCATGGTGGCAGGCACCTGTAATCCCAGCTACTCGGGAGGCTGAGGCAGGAGAATCACTTCAACCCGGGAGGCGGAGGTTGCAGCGAGCCGAGATTGCGCCATTGCCCTTCTGCCTGGGCGACAGAGTGAGACTCCGTCTCAAAAAAAAAAATCGACTTGTTTACTCTGCTTTATTTCCTTTTTGATCTAATGTATTTTCAATGACTTTTTTTTTAGGTGAGCGGAGAATTAGAGTACATACACTTTGTTTGCCAGTGGTAAATTCACTAGCAGATGTATATGCAGGAGTGGATGTACAAGCTGCCATCTGCCTTCTGGCAAACATGGGTGAGTAAAAATTGAAGGAACAGGTGAAATGTATTTTTCTACCTTAGAAACTGAAGCTTGACCAGGCACAGTGGCTCACACCCGTAATCCCAGCACTTTGGGTGGCCGAGGCTGGCAGATCACAAGGTCAGGAGTGGAGTTTGAGACCAGCCTGGCCAACATGGTGAAACCCAGTCTCTACTAAAAATACAAAAAATTAGCCAGGCATGGTAGTGTGTTTCTGTAATCCCAGCTACT